AGCCGCCAAGCCAATAAAGAGAGGACATCTTAGACTTAAAATGATCGAGAGATCACAGTAGAAGCCAGAGAACTCGAGAGATAATCAAGACGGAGTTTCCCGGGAGCAGAGATTGAAGACCCGTCGTCGAGAGATCGCTGCGCGTTTCTTCTTTATCTGTTTCTATGTTTCTTCTTATTGGTTTGAACTCGTTTGTTGTTATGGGTTGCGAGTAGTCATTTCACTGTAGCTAGAGATTTAATCTTGTAGGGGTTTGTTTGGTTTTTATTTTCCGAGACTACGTTATCGATACTCGGCGGTTTAATTGAATTGAATTTATTGCTTTTGATCTTCTTGGCCTGTTGATTGATTGATCTTAGATTCTGATTTACAAAGAGAGTTGGAATTAGATTTGGAAAGAATTCATTGAATGAATTCATTAAGACTATTGAGAGATAGGTTAATCGGTTTAGGAACTGTGATAGTGATCGTTAATGCGTTTGATATTTTAATCTATTAGGTTGAGAGATCGATAGGTTAAATTATTGGATAGTGGATTTAGGACTTGAGAGAGCCAAATCTGATATTAGAACTTGAGATCCCCGATTAGAGGTCGATATTCGTAGATTCTCCATCCTTAGAAACAATCCCTGCGCATTAAGGTTATCCCGAAGCTACGGTGGTTTAGTTATCTGATTTACTTAGTTTATTTATTGCTTTATTTTCAGTATTCATCTATTTCATCTACTATTTGCTGATCTGAATCATAGTTGAGTCTTGTTCTTAGTGTTAACTATTCCCTTGTTCGACCCTGGTACTACAGTTGATCCGTATCCTTGCGGTATTCGTTGTATCTAGGTTTTTATTACTTGAGCTTATTTATACACCTAGATTTGCGTTATCAGACGAAAGGGGCTGGAACGGACGAACCGAAAGGGCCAGACCCGACGGTCCGCCAGGTCCAGACCCGACAGTCCACAGAAGGCAGAACGTCTGTTCTGGATTGTCTGGAATGGACGGTCCACGTAGGCAGACCGTCCGTTCTGGCTTGCTGGAACGGACGGTCCACGTGCATTTCTGGACCGTCCGTTCCGGGCTTCAGGTTTTTCGAAAATTAAACCGAAATTAGGGTAAAATCACTTTATAAGAAGGAGATTAAAACCCTAATTAAGAGAGATACTTTTTGAGCCGTCTTTGGCAGAACTTTGAGAGCTTTTGGTGAGATCAAAAGAGTTCAAGGAGTTCTAAGTCTAGTTTTCTCGAAGCGATATACCGAATAACAGATTTGGGTCCTAGCAGACAAGTTCCAATTGTTGGAATCCATCCCGAGGTGTGGATACGTATAGAGGGTGAGGTATTCTTCCTCCCTTTCGTGATCGAACGAATTCTTCAATTGATACAGGCCCCGGGTCGATTGAGGTAAGCATTCTTACTTTTCTACGATTCATAGAAGCATGGTTCTGAGGTTTTATTCAAAATTTTTGTTTTACATCCGCTGCGCAAACCCTAGAATCGATCTCTTAGGAATACGATTCGCTCTAGAGATCCCAGAAAATCCAACATATTAGTCAATCTACCTTAGGTATTAGTTGGTTTAGGCTAGATTTCACTTCTATTTACCTGATTTGAGTCATAAAGTCCGATATTCTTTCCAGTTTAGACCTGAAGAGTTGGGATTTGATTTAAATTAGGTGGTTAAGGGAGTCGGTCCAGTCTAGATTCACTAGGAATAGGTCTGTAGGGTTCGGTTTAGATTAGGACAGGTCTATAGGGGTTAGTTTTAGGCATAAATAGAATCTGATCAGAAGGAAATTAAGTCATATTAGGCTTAGTTTAGGTCTGATTAAGGTATCAAAAGTCTAAACAGGGGGGGTTGGTAAGACAATTATGATTAACTAAGGTTGTTGATTAGGACTTTTAAGTGTCTTATTAGGACTTATGGTTATCTAATCAGGGTTGGTTAAGTCAATTAGAATTGGCTTATGTCTGATTAGGTTTCTTTGGTGGTCTAATTCGGGCTTTTGGTTGTCTAACTAAGGTTGTTTGGTGTCTGAAATAGCACTTGTAGGGTTGGCTGATTAGGGACTTAGGACCATGTAGACTCGGGGTTGTAGGTTTAATTATGCCGCAAGGGAGAATTGAATGGAAGTAAAGGGAAGTGCTAGGGTTCAGCCTACCTTAAGACCTGATTACGTCTAACCAGACCTAACTCAAGGCTAAACCTGACCCGATTACATCTAATCAGACCGACGACCGAGTCTATATAGTCCTAATCAGACCTATAACCCCGAATCTATATGGTCTCTAAGTCCTAATCAGCCAACCCTACAAGTGTTATTTCAGACCCCAAACAACCCTAGCTAGATAACCAAAAGCCTCAATTAGACCACCAAAGAAACCTAATCAGACCAAATTTCTTCGTGTTTTACTTTTGCAGGTTTTGCAGAAGAAGATGGAGATTTGTAGAGTGTCTTCAGCAAATCCGATGATCGAAGAAGAAGCTTTTGAAACCTCGGTTTTGGTCAGAGACTTTCATAGACGGAGGGGCAAAATGGGTATTTTGTAAGGTCGTTTATGAAACCTAGGGTTTCTGCTTTTTGTTCTCAGACTTGTTCTTTTAGTTTTGAGTTTTCTCTCTTGCGTGGGGCGAGGTGATTTCCACTTCTCCGCATTCGGTGCCGCCGTTCGACGGTTTGTGTCTGTAATCCTAAATCAAACACTTCTTTTCCCGAGACCTAGGCCCGAATTCCTGCTCGGTAACCGAACTTCGTACATCGATGTGTTATCTCTCTTCTTTTGATTTCTATTCTTTTTCAAATGAGTGTTAGAGTGAAGTCGGTGAGAGATTCGGAGGGAACCATTATACCTATATATAGGAATCTTTTATGATCCCACATTGTCATAAATTATCATAAAAGGGAAAAATCAGTCTTTCAAATCAAAACTTATAAAGAGAAGTCTCACACAAACATATCTCCGAATTTTATGATGTATAACAAAAGTGAATAGAATTTCTTAAAACCTAAAATCCCAGATTTTGTACATTCCAACAAAAAAAATCTTTAAAAAAAAAGATTTTTTTTTCTCCTTCATACATTTCTGATACATTTTCATTTCTCTAATGGACAAACATGCTTTCAGACTCTAATTGCCTATCAGCAGGTCAAGGGAAGAACCTACCTTGACTTGCACGGCAAGGTGTTGCATTTACGTTGCCCGCTCGTTACCCTCAAAAAACCCTAGAGCGATTTACAATTTAGGCAAGAAGCTTAACACGCAGGGAACAAGACAAACAAGAATTAAAAGAGCTTAACTACAGTTTCCTATGTTGTTACAGACATTTATTTTCCCGAACTCTCTTCGCTACTTCCCACGATTCTACTCCACAAGCTGCTGAACCCA